GATTTTTTTCAGAATATTACTTTATGGAGAACCTATTTAAAGGTACAGGAATAGCTCTGTAGAATTAATCAGCCAGCGCTAGTCTTCTGTATAGCAGTTGGGAAGGACCCTCACCTCTGCTTTGGGCTCAGGTGCAAGTTGTGTTTGGTTGTATGTATATTTATACTTTTTAGGGCCTTTCCCCACTATGCTTCCATTATTATTGGATGCTCATCTTACAGCCCTGTGAAGACCTAAGCACCAGCCATTAGCAGCAGTAAAAACAATATAAAGTCCTCGGCTAGGTGTGGACGAGCCTGGATCACAGGTATGTCCCCTGAGTGTCTAGCAATACATTGTAGTACTCAGATTATGACACAAAAGAGCCAATAACGGTGATTTTCTTGACTCCTTACATGACCATTTATGATGTTATTGTCCTTTTGTTTGTGGGTAATTCTGGAATTAGGTTATTAGAGGTCAGACATACAGTCTTTCAGGTTCAGGTTTTCTTGAATGAGAAACAATGGCTGATAGGCGAGGACATAGTGGAGACTTGCCTTTCCTTCCCCTACGCCATTTCCCCAACAACTTTACCTCTGTCTGTTATCTCCAATTTCAAAATGAATCCAAATAGAGAGTATCCAATTTTTGAGCATTATTTGGTCATATTTTAGGTGAATTCTGTATTAACTTTCAGTAATCTCCATAGGTCCACTTTATCTACGTGTCTGTTTCAAAGTCACACACACACACACACACACACACACACACACACACACACACACCCCTACCTGTATTTTCATTGTTAATGTCCTAAAGTTTAAGTCCGGGAAAGGTATTCGTGTGTGGGAGGGAGATAATCTCTGATGTTTTTAACATAAAGATAATATATAACCATATAAATACATGAAACAATAATGAAATTTCCCAAAGGGCAGTCCTGCTTATTTTTCATTTACAAAATGTACTTTATGCCACATTATTCCAAGATTCTAAAGTTATTTTCATCTTGACCAATTTACTATCTGTTGAATTGGATATGTAATCTTAAGAAAATGATTTTACTCTCACATAATTACAAATTAATGTTTTAGTCAAAAGTAATTTTATTTTCTATCATAATCTTTAGTAGCACAACTGAGCAGGTTGGTGGGCACAGAGAAATTAAAAAAGAAATCTATTTATCTTGTTGCCCGGCTAGCGCAGTTGGTAGAGCATGAGACCCTTACTTATCTTCTTTATTATATATTTGTTTGATTTGTGGCTTGAAGTTTGTTAAATACTCATATGTTTTACTTACTTTAAAAATACTGTGGTACTGAAACATATGCATTTAGGTTTTATTCAAAGTGGAATCCTACCTGCCTCACTATAAAAAATGACATATAAAATTACCATGTTCTTTTGTGTTTGAAAACTTGCAGAGTCCTTAATCTTAATCTGCCCTCTGAGACTCAGATGTCTTTTCATTTAATTTTTTCTTTTTTTAAAGATTTTTATTAAAATATAGCTAATGTACAATATTATATTAGTTTTAGGTATATACCAGTTATTCAACATTTATACACCTAAAGAAATGATCACCATGATAAGTCCAGCAACCATCTGACGGTGTACCATGCTATCACAATATTATTAACTATATTCTCTATGCTGTACATTACATCCCCATGACTTATTTGTTTTACACCCGGAAATTTGAGCCCCTTATCCCCCTTCACCTTTCTCCCCTTTTAAAATTTTTTCAGTTACATTTGACATTCAGTATTATTTTATATTAGTTTTAGGTTTACAGAATAGCGGTTGGACATTTATATAATTTACGAAGTGATCCCCAACTAGTCTAGTACCCACCTGGCTCTATACATACTTATTACCATATTATTGCCTATATCCCATGACTCTTTTGTAACTACCAATGTGTACTTCTTAATCCCTTCACCTTTTTCTCCCTGCCCCCAAACCCTCTCCCATGTGACAGCCATTAGCTTGTTCCCTGCATCTGTGAGCCTATTTCTGTTTTGTTTGCTCATTTATTTTCTTTAGATTGCACATACAACTGAGATCATATGGTATTTATCTTCCTCTTTCTGGCTTATTTCACTTAGCATAACATCTTCCAGGTCCATCCATGTTGTCGCATATTTAATTTTCTTAAGACTTTTTAATGTCTCCAGCTTCAGGACTGTTACCTTGTTTAATATTTCTGCTGTGCAAAAAAATCTCATAAAAACCTACATTTTTATAGCTTTATTGAGATATATTCACATACATAAAACTCACACATAAAAGTGTACAGTTCAGTGGTTTTTAATATATTCACAGAGTTGTGCAACTATGGCACAGTCTAATTTGAGAACATTTTAAACACCACAAGAAGAAACCCATGTTATTCCTCATTCTTCTCCCCAGGCGACCACTAATCTAGTTTTTTATTCTATGGATTGCCTGTTCTGGACATTTCATATAAATGGACTTATACAATACCTGGTATTCTGTAATTTGCTTCTCTTACTTAGAGGATGTTTTCAGGGTTAATTTATGTTGTAATGTGTTCAGTACTTGATTTCTTTTAGTTATTGAATAATGTTCCATTATAAGCATGTGAAACATTTTGTTTATCCATTCGTCAGTTGATGAACATTTAGACTGCTCCAACCTTTTGTCTGCATGAATAATGCTGCTATGAACATTCATGTATAAGTTTTGTGTTAACATGTTTTTAATTCTCTTGAGTATATACCCAGAAGTGGAATTGTTGGGTGGTATGATCACTCTACATTTAGCAGTTTGAGGAACTGCCAAACTGTTTTCTAAAGTGGTGGCTCCATTCTACATTCTCACCAGCAATATATAAAGGTTCCAGTTTCTCCTCACCCACACTTATTATTATCTGTCTTTTTAATTTTAGCCACCCTGGTGGGTATGAGGTAACATCATTGTGGTTTAGGTTTGCATTTCTCTGATGACTAATGATGTTGAACATTTTTTTCATATGCTTATTGACAAAAACTCACTGTTGATATCTGCACACAGTCTGAGCCAGAAAGTCTAATTGTGTTCAAAGGTAGTTTTGAATATTTTCCATCTTTTTTGAAACTGTTTTGGTAGAGAACAAAGAAGTTTACAGAACAAAACTTTAAGTCGATTGAAAAGTTAGTCTGATATATTGCTCTCCTGTTGTGATGATTTTCTGCCACTAAATGGAGGAAAACTAATTATTGCTTAAAGATTTTTAATCTCACAAGAGTAAACTGTAAAGTAAGTAAAATTTTCTTGATTTTGATGCTCTTAGACTACTATTGTATGCTTTTCTCTCCTCTTTGAAGAACACCCGTCCCCTATTTTTTTTAGCTCCTTCTACTGTTATGCTTTTAATACGGTCTGCTATCAAGCTTGTTCTCAGGATAGGAAGTGAAATGCATAGACACTAAGGAGCATATGATGGAAAAAGAAATCTGATTGTATGTCTTTCCCAAGATTATCTTCAGGGAATGAAGGAATAAAGGACTGAAGTTTTTAGTAAGCAACTAAACCAACATCAAGAGATGAAGGTTTTCTGTGGGAAACCTTCTGTATCATTTGAGGCCCTTTCAGTTGCATGTGACTGAAGCCACCCCCAGAGCATCTTACCAGAGGCAATATATTGGATTCCGTAAACTGAGAGGACTCCAATGTTATCACCTAGATGCATGTCTCAGCTGTGTCCTGTGGATTGGCTGTAGTCTCATGATACTTGGCATGATTCCTGGAATCTTCCAGCTCACCCCATCATACCACTCTGTTTATGAAAAAAGAGAGAGAGATTCTGTGATACTCCAAACCAAAATCTTGGAAGTCAGGCTCTTGTCCCAAACTAGCCTACCCTGAAATTCATGCTCATTGCTAAATCAATGACTGTGGGCAGCGTGTTGGAGCTGCCGTTCGCTTAGCCTAGCACACGTGGTCCCCTGGATCTTCGGTAGAGTTGTTTCAGTAGAAGCATTTAGGCTGAGGCTGGCATAGCATGGTCACGAAGGGGAGTGGAGGCAGCATGAGGAATGATCGTTATCTGCTTAAACCACAGACCACAGGCAGGTTCCTTCCCCCAAAGGGCAATTCTAGGAAGAACATTAAAAAGTCATTGGGGGCAGTGGTTCTCAAGCTTTAGGGTATGTACAGGTGTGATCAAAACATACAGTGAATGTTTAAATAAAAAAAATATTACAGGCAATGTGTCTTTTACTGTAATATATTTTTTTATTTAAATATTCACTGCATTGTTTGATCACACCTTATATTATTTTGCTAGGGTTTGCCTGTCCATCAGTGTATTTTAGAAGCAGATAACTTGTTTGATTTCACTGGTTTACAAATAGAGAGGAATTTTGCCACAAGATGAATCATTCACCAATACCAAATTTAGATGCTATTTGGATTAGATTTTAGACTTAGAGCTGATGTGGGAATAGGTTTAGACTTTTGGAGATTTTGATGTGTGAATGTATTTCGCATGTGAGGAGGACATGAATTTTCACAAGCTAAATGGGGGACTTTTATGGGTTCAGTTGTGTCCCTTCAAAATTCATTTGTTGAAGCCTTAACTTCGAATACCTCAGAATACGACGTTACTTGGAAATAGGGTCATTGCAGATGTACTTAGTTAAGAGGAGGTCAGTAGTGAGAGCCCTAATCCAATATGACTGGTGTCCTTATAAAAATGGGATATTTGGATAGAGACATGCACACCATGTGAATACTGGAGTAATGCTTCCATAAGCCAAGGAACTACCAGAGAAGCTAGGAGAGAGGCCTAGAACAGATCCTTCCCTAATGCCTTCAAAAGGAACATGGCTCTGTCATCACAAAATACCATAAACTGAGTCTTTTAGACGACAACAAATTTATTGTCTCACAGTTCTGGAAGCTTGAAGTTTGAGATGAAAGTGTCAGCAGGGCCTTGTTTTGGGAACACACTGTCCAGTGCTCTCACCTTGATTGTAACTGCATTTATTGTTATTGCTTTTTTTTTTTAATAGAAGAAGCAAAAGTGTCTGAAGATGATGAAATGGAAAAGCTCTACAAATCATTAGAGCAAGCTAGTCTATCTCCTCTTGGGGACCGACGACCTTCGACCAAAAAGGAGTTGAGAAAGTCCTTCGTGAGGCGATGTAAAAATCCATCCATAAATGAGAAACTCCACAAAATCCGAACCTTGAATAGCACATTAAAGGTAAAAAAATTCAAATTGTGGATGAACTCTGAGGATGTGGGGGCGAGGAATGGCTGACTCTGCCCAGAGATTGGTGCTAACCACCATGTGCTTGTGTGGGTGGAGGGGACGACAGTAAAAGCAAATCCAGCCTCTGTGGGGTGAAGTGACCCTTGACATTCTTCAAGCACTAGAACATTCACACAGTAGCACCAGTCAATGCACTTTTCTACAATAGGTCTTGATTTTTATATTCGCGCTGGTATAAAATCTCAGTTGTTTGGCTTCTAGAAGGCAAGGACCATGTGTAATTCATTTTTTGCACCCTTTTACCCGGTACAGTAAATATTGATGAGCGCTTACTATAGTCAATTCATGAGAATAAACAGTAATATGAATGAGATCTTGGAATTTCACCTGATTTATCAAAGAGTGCCATTGTTCTGTACTCCATCTAGAAGACATTTTCTGGATTTCAAATACACAGGCATTTAATGACTCTCAGCTCTAGGTTCTGCAGCCACGATACACCATGAGAGCTGGGCAGTGGGAAATGTACACTTCGTAGTAATAGCCCAGCAGATGTTTTCAAAATGGGGATGAGGGACAGTGTACAAGTTGTACTGAAACTACTTTCAGGACCTCCTGTAACTAAAATGGTTCTTCCTAACAAAAGCATTCTGCTTTCATATTTAGATGAATAGGAGGAGGTCAGAATACATTGTTCAATAGTCCTGAATTAGCAGAAGATTTATAAATTCTGAAAAGCCTTGATAGATCCTGCAGTTTAGTTCTGGTTTGTACATGTCCTTTTGCATCAAGCATTTCAGTCTCTTTCCGGGAATAAATATCAGCAATCAAAGGACAAGGTCACAAAGAGATGGCTGAGTGATTCTAAGTGTCAATAGAAGACGTAAGCACCCTACAAGGCTGTAAAAATGAGGCTGGAAAGTAAAAGGCAAAAGGGTATTTTAATTATACCAAAAAACCCAAATGCAGAGAAGTTCCCTAACATTTAATGATGGAAAAACATCACTAGCACTCATGTCAAAGGCAAATATGTTGTATTCTACAGTATGTACACAGTTGATAAATATATTCGGTCTTTCAATGGAATATGCCATAGGATCTTGGGATTTTACTGTCTGATTTGTGATAACTGATATTAATGAACACATTTTTCATTAAACAAATATTTCCTGAACCTTACTATGTGCTAGACACTATTCTAGGGCACTGGGACCATTGATTGAGTGGACCCCACTAGGCAATGAAAACAGAGAGGAAAACAGGATGTAATGCTATAAGTGCTTTAGTTGATGCAAGCTTGGGGTGAGGAGGGGAATGGCTGCATATGGGAGGCCATTAGGGACAGTGTTATGGGGGGGTTGACAACTGGCCCATGAGTAAAAGATGAAGAACATCAGGATGAGAAAAAAGGGCATTCAAGGAGGAGGAACTGGCCCTGGGTAAATATATATATATCAGTGGATGATATCTTGTAATCCATGTTGGGAGTGTCAGCATAAAAAACATCCAAACCTGGAGAGATGTTTAATGAGTTTATTTGAGCCAAACTGACGACAATTGCCATGACACAGAACCTCAACGGATTGAGAAGAGGCTCTGGAAATGGCAGTTTTGCAATTTATTTTATACATTAGAATCAAAGGAGGAGGGTTACATGAAATCCATTGGTGGTAGATTTATAGGGTGGGAGAAAGCAAAGCAGGGGAAATCTCTAGGATTGGATAAAAAGTAAATTGGAGAGACAGATACTTCTTTTACATAGGTGGGTGCAGGATAGTTAATAGTTCGCTATATATAGCACATAGAGATGGTAACCAGGAGATAAGAATAACAATGAGGGATTCTGTGGTCTCCTACTCTGATGTGGCAGGTTATGCCCTGAGGGGTCAGGAAAAAGGGATGACTGACATTCTAAGGGCATGCTATTTTAAAAAGACAATAGACAGGCTCACTTAAGGTAAAGGTTGACAATTGTCAAGGATGCTACAAGCCAAGGATATTACTACTGGCCATGACCCATTTTTAGTTAGGAATTTTTATGTTCAGACCATCCTATGTGGTTAATTTCAGCCTGCCATGCAGGCCTCCCCTGAGCTTGTCAGGGTTAGTATGTGGTCCCTTTTTCATCCACAGGAAAAACAGGGAATAGAAGCTAAGGAGAGAACAGACAGTGCAGGCCATTTCTAGGGGAAAGATTGTGTTCTCAGCTTCCCATAGAACAGCAACGTCAGGATTCTAGACCATCCCAGGGCCATGCCCTGCCCTGGCCACTGGGAGGCCAGGTTTGTACAAAGAATTCAACGGTTTTACCAGCCCGTGTGGTTCTCTGTGAGATTTGTACAAAGAATTCAGGTTTGTACAAAGAATTCAAAGGTTTTACCAGTCCATGTGGTTCCCTGTGACCTCTTGTTCTTCAGGCACTATGGCCATGGAATGGATGAATTCAGCTTTTTCTTTTCTCCCCATATATTAGTTCTCTACTGCTAGGTAACAGAATACCCCCAATTTAGCAACTATAAATAGTAACCACCGATCATTTCACAGTGTCTGTGGCTTAGTTCGATGCTTGTGCCTCCCATGCTCTCATGGGGTTGCATCCAGACATCAGCTGGGGCTGCGTGCATTCCTCCAGTTGGGGAAGATGTGTTTCCAGGCTCTCTAATGTGGTTGTTGTCAAGATTCAGTTCCTTTCAGGTTGCTGGACTGAGGGTCTCTGCTGTTTCCTGTTGATGGGAGGTCACACAGTTCCTTGCCCTGTGAGCCTCTTCTGAGGGCAGCTCTCAAAATGGTAGCTGGCTTCCTTGAGAGCAAGTAAGACAGAGAGTGAGTGAGCAAGATGGATCATACCCCAGCCTCAGTCATGACATCACACTGTATTTACAGTATTCTATTCATTAGAAGTAAGGCACTGGGTCAGCCTGCGTTCACAGTGGGGAATTACGAAAGGGCTTGAATACCAAGGAGCAAGGAACATAGGGGGGCCATGTCAGGGGCTAGCACACCCAGCTGAAGAGCTGCTCTGTCTGTACGTTCCCGGAAAGAGGCCCCTTCCACAGGTCTGTTAGGCCTCACAAAAGTGTATTGAGGGGGTTGATGAAACATCCATGTCATGTGGTCCCGCGAATCTCATCAGGAGGGAGGAAGACGTGATGATGTGGAAATTGGCCTTCAGGAAAAAAAAAAAAAGCACATCAACCTATTTATTGGAGGAAGATAATTTGGTACATGTCTGTTTATTCATGCCGAAAGACTATAAGAATTATTTTAACTATTGTTAATTTAATTTAATGGTCTTTAAAATTTAAGGCAGTCAGGATGGTGATTGTGTTTGAGGAGGAAGGAAGGATATGATGGGAAGGGCCCACAAAGACAGCTTCCGAGGTGCGGGGTAAGGGTCTTTTTTGACTTTGGTGGTGGTTTCAGAGATGCGTCCCTTTTGTGGTAATACATCAGGAACAAACCTTATTATATGTGTATTTTCTCTATGTATGTTGTATTGCAATTCCAACATTTACTTAAAAAATACTTGAAAGCTGGAGTACGGGCAAGCAAAGACAACAATTCCATGCAGAAACGAGGAAACTTTTAACAATGTTTATATTAGTGATAGACATATTCCATAAAGAAATACCTCTGTACTGGGATTGTATTGAAATAAATGCTCTTTATGGAAATGCTTCAAGGAAGCTGAGCAAACTATCATGTCATATTCTAAATGTAGACCTTTAGGAATTTCTGATAGCTCAACATTACTGACTTTCACCTAAGTCTGCCTTTATTTTAAAATGAATGTTTAATGGGTCTGCCTGAAACTTTCTCTCAGGGTTTCCCTGGTCTATGACATAAGGAACAAACCCTTTCCCACAACTGCTCTGGTAGGATGCATTTCCAGTACTAGGTCTTGAGTCAAGTCATGCAGAGCATATGTGGCGTGAAAAATGATATTCCAGCATGCTCTCTTTCATGATATTTTTGGAAGCCCCACCAGGCCCTGCCTGCCTGCCAGAAAGTCAGGAGGATGTCGTAAAAGTGGTTCAAAGCATTGGGGAGCAAGCCTCTTTCGCCACAGGGGACAGCAGGCGGTGTGTGATGCCGCTGACCCCAGGGTGCTGGGTCCAGGACGGAGCTCAGGGGTTTTGTTGTCTCATAAATTTCTTTCCTCTCTATTCTTGTCTACAGTTTTTTCTTTTATCCATAAAATAACTCACACAGACTTAAGCCAAATAGTAAGAAATTTGTGTTGGTTAGAGCTAAAAACCATGTGTGAAGTGTTAGCCCAAAGTTGAAGCAACCCTTTCCTAGAACCTTTTGTAGGATTTAGAGGGGTGGTCAGTTCATTTTTGCCTTTAAAAAAATCAAGTTTCCAAATTTTGTTAATCTGCAAAGATCTTAGTTTTTTTGTTTCAAGAAAACATTAGGATCTCTGTCTGAACAGATGTCAGAATTTCTTAAGAGCAAACTAAAAATCCTTAAATAACTTCATTGAATTGCATTATGGTGATAGACCATGAAAGCTCATTATTCTTATTTATTTATTTTCTTTCTGAAATTACTGTTTTTGGGAAGCATAGATGCTGAGAACTCAGAGAGAAGAAAGAAAACTCTCTTGGCTCTGCTCAACTTTCTACCAGCAATCCTTTATCATAAGCCACTTGCTTAACCTCCTTTCTTCTGCTTCTGGGACTTGGTCAGCCTGCTTGTTATCCTTATTTGGTAACTTTCCTATTGAACAATTTTTCTCTTCTCCCTGAGACCTGAATATATCATTTGATCTCCATCTATCAACACATCCTTGCTCTCTTGATTCAAAATTATAAATCTCATCACTTTTCCCTTGAAATCCATGTTATTCTGACTAATTTAGAAACAGGTGAAGAATAGGAAAATAAAATATAACAAAACACCTGAAACATAAGTTAAAGCTAATTATAGAGTAGAAACAATACAATTGTGTGCCACTAATATTTGTAATCATCTATGACCAGATACATCATTTGGATAAAATAAATCCCTAAAACTATACGCAAATGTCTGTGTATGGATAGATAGGTAGATATAGAGAGGTATCTCTATATCTCTATATCTATATCATCTATCTATATACATATATATAGCATACACATATAACATGTGTAATACTATATATATATACATACATATATATGTATGTAGCATTTTTGTTTGTTTATGGAGAGGCTTTCCTCAGGCTCTAAGTAGTAGTCATGATGTAAACGAAATTAAAAAGCAAATGGATAATTAGTTCATTCATTCACTTCTTATTTCATATATTTATTTCTTTCAACAAGTGAATGTCTACCACGTGTCAGTCATTCTTTCAGGGCTTGGGGATTTAGCAGTGGGCATATCAGGCAAAATTTCTTGCCCTCATAAAGCTTACATTTAGGTAGAGGAAAAATCAACAAAATAAATAAGTAATTTTATAGTATGCCAAGTGGTGATGGATTTAATAGACACTAGAAGAGAAGGGTTGAGGGATTGATTTTAATTAGGATAGACCTGAAAAGCCTTTTTGGAAGATGTAATTTGAATAAGATCTGAAAAAGGAGTGAGCCATGAGCCTATGTGAGATAGAATGTTCCAGGCAAAGGAACAAAACTGCAAGTGCCTTGGGGTGGGAGTGTGCCTCGCAGGTTTAAGGAAAAGCAGGGACGTCAGCGTGGCTGGAGTGCAGTAGGGGATGGAGGATGAGACGAGCGGCAGTGGGCAGAGGGGCACAGGGGGATCATATCATATACTGCCTTATTGTCATTGCTAACACCTTGGCTTCTACTTGGAGTGAGCTAGGAAGCCTTTGGAAGGTTCTGAACAGAGGTATGGTATGGTTTGACATATTTTGAAGGTAGAAACATCAGGATTTTCTGGTGGAAAAGAGTGAGAGAAGGAATCAAGGATCACTCTAGTGTTTGACATGAGCAACAGGAAACAGGGAGTTGCCATTAGGTGCTTTGAGGAAGCTGAGGAGCAGGTTTCAGTGTGTATTAGGAGTTGGTTGGGGAGGGCATGAAGAGAATAGTGGAAACTTAGCTTTGGACCTTTTGGACACGTTATACTTGAAATACCTGTTACGGATCCAGGTGGAACTGCTGAAGAGGAAGTTTAGATAAACCAGTAAACTTGCGACCCTCAGTATATAAGGAGAACAGGAGAGACTACATGAGTTTACCAAGAGCATGAGTGTGGAGAGAACAGAGAAGAGGACAAAGTCCGGAGCTTTGAGGTCCCCCAACGTTAAAAGATTGTGCCAGATGAAGGAATCAGCAAAGGAGTCTGAGAATGAGTAGCCATATGGGATGAGAAAAATCAGGAGATTGTGTCACGGAAGTGACATGATGAAAGTGTTCAAAGAGTCATCAACAATTTTAGATGCTGTTGATAAATAAGTTGAAGATGAATAACTGATTATTGAAGTTAACAACATGGAAATCACTGATGGCCTGAAGAAAAGCAATTGTGGTAGAATGATGGGGGCAAAAGACTGGTGGGAGTGACTCTGTGACAGAATGAGCTCAGGGACATTGGCGGCAAGGAGAAAAGAGGAGCATTAGCTGGAACAGGCATATGGGTCAAGAGAGGGCTTTTAAGATGGGCGACATCACAGCATGTATGTACGCCAGTGGGGATGATCAAATGGAGATGGGAAACTGACGAGTAGCTTGCAAAAGGGGAGAAATGCTGGAGTGAATTTCTTGAGTACGAGAGAGGGGACGATGGCACACAAATGGAGAGATTGGACTTTTTTAGAAGCACAGATATTTCATCCAAATGAACAGCAAGGAAGGCAGCGATCTGTCTGTGCAACTGTAGGTAGTGGGCAGTAGGAACTTGGGAGAAATATTCTTCTGATTGTTGCAATTTCCTCAAAAAAAATCAGCTACAATGGAGGATGGGGGCAAGGTTTGAGTAGAGGCAAGAAGTTTTGAAATAGTCTTTGGGAAAGTCAGAGGGAAGGGATGAGAAAATATGATTACTGGATAGTAGTGAAAGTCCACTTAATAGCAGTGGTCATGAATTTGAACTGTGACCAGTGGGCCCAGTTGTGAATTTTTAGCTCCACACATGCCAGCCTGGGAATAGGCAGAGAGATTGGTGCAATGATAAACATGTATTGAATGTCTGCCTGGCACTCAGCTTTGTGTGAGGTGCAAAGAATACAGGGATAAACACAATATGTTTATTGTCACCTTCCTTAAGGAGCTTTAACGTAGGTGGCATGACAGGTCCATGAATATCTAAGCATTATCCAGTAAGTTCTAAGAAGTCTCAAAGCATCGGAAGGCATGAGGACATTAAAAAAGCTTCTAAGTTCAATTTGGGGGTTCAGAGACGATTTTCCAGACAATATGATTCCCGAAGTGAGTATAGATTTATGAGTCACGGTAAAATCTGTAAGAGAACTATTGGAAAGTGTTGCATGTGAAAGCAACTCTAGGAATGAGAGTTCACCAGGTGAAGAAAGGTGAGGAAGGTTCTTCATATGCCACATCATGGAGATGTGAACTAGCATTGTGTGGGGGAGAAAGTTAACATCAACACTGTTAGAGTCGCAAGTAAGAAGCAAGAGGGTCAGCAAATGGAGCTCAGATCCAAGAAGCCTTGCCAAGTCATGGCAACAACTGAAGTGTCCTTTGATGGGTGATTGGATAAAGAAAATGTACATACATACAATGGAATATTACTCAGCCATAAGAAAAGATGAAATACTGCCGTTTGCGACAAATGGATGGATCTTGAGATTATCATGCTAAGTGTAATAAGTCAGACAGAAAAAGTCGAGAACCATATAACTTCATTTATATGTGTGATATAAAACTGAAAGCAACAAACAAACAAGACAAACAAAAACTCGTAGACACAGACAACAGTTCAGTGGTTACCAGAGGGTAAGGGGGGAGAAGGGTGGTAGAAGAGGGTAAAGGTGGTCAAATGTATAGTGATGGGAGAAAATTTGACTTTGAGTGGTGAACACACAGTTTAATAAAGAGATGATATATTATGGAAATGTATACTTGAAGCCTATATAATTTTACTGACCAATGTCATTCCAATAAATGTAATTAAAATTATAAAAAAATAAAGGGTAGCCATTAAGGGGACTCAGCATTGTAGGTGGATCCTTGCATCATCATGTGGAGGGTGGATTTAAAGTGGGGCTTGAAGGCAGGGACTCACTTAGGAGGCTGTAGCAGAAGATCAAGTGTGATGTATTGGACTTTATATCTGTAATTAGGATGATGGTCATAGGGATGGAGGGAACAAGAAAGATCTGAGATAAAATTGTCAGGATGAAATGACCTCTTTTTGAATGTGGAGACCATTGCATCTTATTTTTACTCCATTTCTTAACTACAGAAAACTTCTTTAACCTGAGCCCCACATTTCAGAAATGTGTATCATTGGTTATAGAGGGGGCAGGGTGAAATAATATGAATAGATTGTTTACTCTATTAGTATCGTTACAATGCATACTGTTTTCACAGAAGGTTAGTAGTCTTTTCTTTAAAGAAAAAGATGGCCTACCTATTTATTCTGCATATATTAATTAAATAAGTGTGTGTGATCTATTAAAATTTAAGATGATAAAAAACAAGGTATGTTTTGTATTATTGTATGTCTTAGGGAAAATACTATGCCCCAATTTTACTTAGTGAAGTTGGGTGGTCAATGAAATGATTATATAATTCTGAGCTTCAGGAGGAATAAAGCTCACAGTGAGACAGAAATGTTACTGTGGTGTGGAATAACAGATCGATCAGGCAAGAGTAATGTGGAAGACCTTGGCTATATGCCTAGTTTTTCCATTGGGTAGGACACTTAACTCCTTTGTGGCTAGCATATGTAAATGGATGTCTTGACATCTTTCTTGAGATTGTTGTAGGGATTTAAATATTAAGGTATAAAACACTGAGATAGTTTTATGAATGCATGTGTACATTCATTTGTAAGAGGGCTGAAGAAGGTTTATTGAAATTAAGATACTCACTATATTATCTCTCCCCGCCGGCTCTTATTTTCTGCTTGGACAGTGTAAAGAACACGACCTGGCCATGATTAACCAGTTGCTGGATGATCCGAAGCTGACAGCCAGAAAATACAGGGAGTGGAAGGTCATGAACACCCTGCTGATTCAGGACATCTATCAGCAGCAGCAGGACCCCAGGTCCGCCTCTGAAGGCACCCCCCAGGGACTTGAAGCACCACATTCCTCTGCCTCTGTTGAAAGTTCCATTTGAGAACAAGCCAGGATTCTCTCCCCTTCTCACCCCAAGCAACTCTTCAAGACGTTGCAAGAGCTTACATTTTTCCTTAAACGGAAAACTGAGACCAGTTCCTCAAGCATCAGCTCCCTCTGTAAAGATGCAGCTCAGGTGAGGACCAGCACCGTGGCAGCAGGACTCCTCCTAGATGTAGCGCTTCCATCAAGACTGGAGCGGTTGCATCCAGTTGAACCTTTCTCGTGTTCCTGCTGGGAGCTCACGGCTATGCCAGGCTCTAGGTGGGATGTGAGGACCCTATCTTCTGTTCCTTGCTCTCAAGAGAATTACGACATTCTGTGGACAAAAGGTCACTTTTTACTGGGGATAATTATTCATAGAAATATTCAGTTTTCCAAAAGAAGAATGTATATGTTCTTCCTGGTTGGGTAGCTGAGTTCTCCAAATCATTTTTTTCTGAGTGGGGGAATGTCTTCTACAGCAGCCACTGGAACAGGACAAATGATTTTGTGGCACTGAAATCCCCTGCTCATGGTCCAGAATGGCGGTGCCTTTTCCATGAGTTGAGAAGTACTTCACAATGACTGGCGCGTGGGAGAGCTGAAGGAGGAGACACGTTCTATATTCCACTCGCTTAAAGAACAGCGTGACCTTTTCATACTTTACCCAGGCGGGGGTGGGATCTGATTAGTGTTTCCTTTCCACAGAACAGCTAAAAGAAAACGATCTCATTACACTTGGAGGCCACTACTCCCTCCTAGCTTTTCTGAACCACTGTAGAAGATAGTAATAAGTCCAGCAAAGAATGTTTGCTGCTTTTGTTCTTGGATGTGGTGAATATGTACAGTATAAATTTATATCGAGGTGTCCCAGGATAAATATTGACAAGATGATTCTGTTATCTGAATTGTTTTAATATCTCTATTTCAAAATAACATCCAACAAAAACAAAACAGTTAAAACATGATTGCTTTATTTTTGTATGTTTATGTGTCATTTTGGCTCCTATGTGAATAGCTATCTATAATATGTTTGTTATTTAAGTATATTTATAGAAGGTCAAATTGCTAGTGTTTTAAAAGATGATATAGTATTATATGTTTTGCTCAGTATATATTCTCAAAGGATATACATTTTGCTTGAGAAAAATAGAAGTACTATCAATTATTGATTCATTGGCATTGTCATGTTGCACTCTGATGTATGAGGAATGCTCAGGAAATCTTGTGAGGGATAAACGTGAGGGCATGCAATAATAATCTTTTCATTTTCTGGTCTCTCCCTCCATCTCTCACTTTCGCTGTCTCTCTCTCTCCCCCTAGAAGGCTTAGATTTCTCTGTTTTAAGCCACTCTCAACCAGAAGAGGACTTGCATCTTACTCTATCCCTTCTAGTAAATAAACTTTAAGCTTTATGCCATTTATGCCCACAAATCCTAAAACAAATGAAACACAACTAATGGGGTCTTTTGTCTAAAGACTAATAGAAATTGTGGGGTCTGTTGTTAAAGAGAACTAATTTTCTTCGAGTAGCAATATGAAAGTCTTCACTTAGTAATCATCATGAATATTTCTTACCATAAGAATAGCCACAACCCACCAAAAACCCATTTTGGCCCTACACCTAGCAAATTGTCAACAAAACAGTTTTCTTTATAGAGTTGAAGTGTGGCTTGACACTCAAATGGAAATAACCCCCTGAATTTTATCTGCAAACTAAATGGAAATAGTTGTTGACTATTTCCTCAAGCTTTACTAAGAAGCCTTAAATGCTTTGCAAACAAAAAACAACCTTAACATTAGGAAAGAAAACAAACCCAAACACACAGGAAGCAAACCGTAGTACCTAGAAGCTTCTGTGAGATAAGAGGCCAGGTCAGCCAGCTTGGCCCAGCAAACACTTAGAAGCACCTACACCACGTGGAATGTACTGGGTGAGGCCACGAGCATGCAGAAGAGGGCGCCTGACCTGTGGGGAGTTTACTGTTGGCACCAGAGAGAAGTAGCCATTCCGGTCCTCAGGTTGGACCCTGAAGCTTCTGGCATAAGGGGCCAATGCTTTCATCTTTGTACTCTAGACATGGTCATTGATTCTTTCCGTACTGAGCAGCTATTAGAAGGTTGATATGTAGGATTCCATGTAAACAAAGTGTTGAGGGACGGGGAAGGAATAATGGAGGAGGCAACAAATAATAGATATAGCCTCGTGTTCTACTTTTCCCCTCTGGTTTGTAACACCCACCTATAAATTTCAAAACAGTTTTTCCTAACCTGGAGTGTTCCAGAAGCTTTTGACGAGGACTTGGGAATACATGTCAGTGCTTTATTCTGGCTTTTCATTAACACATATTTAACTGACTTTTTAGTGCAAATTCCTTTAGAACCACGTGGAAGGCAAAGTAGGTCCACGAGAGTACTTCATCAAGCCTTTCAGTTACTTTTCAAAGTCAAGTTAAGTCGAGCAGTGTTTGCTTTGTCAGTTAAAGTGGTTACTTTGCAGAATCTCCCCGAAAGAACGTTAACCTGAACTGCACAATTTTGCGCCCAGCTCTTCTAGGCCAGAATCACCTGTTCATTAGTGCTTTCCCTTCTGTAAATGCGTTCACTCTGTTTTATGTTGTGTTAGGAAGGAGGGGCTGCCTCTGTTGAGTTCCCAGCTTCAGCCTCTTAGTGCCAGTTTATTGCTGGGGACTGGGTCATCTCTGAAAGGGATTTGGGTAGTTTCATCAGGTCTAAGAGAAGACGCCTCTATTCTTGTAGATATAGGGCCTGAGGACTGTGGAAAGACCCAGAACAATGGCCACTTAGAAGGGAATTAGAGAATCTCTGAGCATAACTAAGTCCACACCTGTGGCACCTGTGGATTAAGATCTTCCTCAGAATCCACTTTGGGGTTGCGCGGAGGACCCCTTCTCGCTAGTGTTAGTCTATAGACCCAAACTGGTGCCTGATGTGTAGCCTCACTGGTTAGTACATGGCAGCACATGCTGACTCGGATGGTCCCACATTTGAAGGGGATCTTTTGCTTTTAATAATCCCCAGTTCTGCTGCAATCTCAGCATAGCGTCAAAAGCCTAGAAAGAATCATAAAGAGAGAATGTTTGGGGTCGGATTTCAATGTGAAGCCAATGACTTATATTTAAGTAGCACTTTGTAGCTTGCAAATCAGTTGCCTCAGGCTCCCTCCTCTGCCTCCCCAGTGGTCTTTGTGGGATGACTGTGGATTATCACTACTCCTTTTGATGGAGGGAGTTTTGCAAGCTCTGAAAAGTGATGTTCCTGGGGAGGGCCCCAGGTACAGCCAGGACTTGAATTTGTACCTCCCTTGTACTTTACCTTGAGAAGCCGCTGTTGGGACCCATCAGT